TTTAATCTCCCGCCTCTAAAAAGATGTCAACATCTTGTAATGATAATGGTGATGTCCTTTTGGCATCACAAGAAAATCACGAGCTTTCATGTGTGGTCCATGAGCCACGTCCATAACAAATTTTCAGACCCAGGGAAGAAAATAAAATTGGACCATTTTTGGAGCTATTTTGCTCATTTACAGACATATATACCCACTGTCCAGTGATGTATCATGCCACTCCCTTCTAGAGTGGTGACAATTCTGTTCCAAAAAAGAGAAAAGGTTTTTACTTTGTTGATTTTCATGGGTATTTGATTGAAAACCATTGAAATTAGCTAGCAAGATTTGATTTTTATTTCTTATATTTTATTTCTAGAATTCCTCATCTCTTTTCCCCCGACACTCCCAAAACTCATAATAGGATTTCGGCCTGAATAATCCGGCCTCAATCAGAAAAAAAATCATGAGAGATTATGCATCTTCATTCAGAAACTCCGGCCCGTATACCAGCCCGGGCACACCCGAATACGGGCTCAACAGCTCAGACCACAAAATGCCAAAGACATGGAGCTCAGAGCGGGTCCCACTGCCCATCAGCAGCAGGAGGCACACAGCTGCACTAATGCCCTTCAGCAGCGGGCGGGCCCCGCCTTCCAAGTGGGACGATGCAGAGCGATGGATTACCAGCCCGTTATCAGGCCATGGAGGCTTCTTCAGGAGCCCGGTTGCTCAGGCCCACTACCGGAGGCCCAAGTCGAAGAGTGGGCCACTGGGAGCATTTGAGGGTGGGGGTGGTGCTGCTGCTGCTAGGAGGTTTGCCGTGGCTAACTCGCCCCTCACGACTGGGGTTTTGGCCCCCGAACGAGTTTTAGCAGTTAGGTATGGAAGTGGGCCTGGGGTGAAGCCCGGTTCTTTGTATTGCGAAGGTGATAATAGCTTGCCCAGGTGTGGTAGTGGGCCGGGCTTGTCGGATTTGGCTAGTGAGGGTTCCCTGCCAAGTTCTCGAGGTAAAAGTAAT